CCCAAAAGGAGATCCAGGAAAGGGGTGGGGCTGTGAGCGGGGAACGCAGGCACACACACGTACGTTCATAGATGCCCCAGTGCTTATTTGAATGAGGAGAAATTCCAGGAAAGTGAACTTGCAGTACAAGTAGAGCCAGTTCGTGTGGACTCTTTTGAAAGAGAGCTCTTTTTTTGAGAGCTCATTTGAAGGTGGGGATACGTGCTGTGGTCTTCAAAGCTCTTGCTTCATTTTACAGAATTGAAATGCAGGCTGCAGGAGTGTGGAATGTAATCTGGAATGGGAACGTCTGGAATAACGTGATGGGGAATTATTCCTGCGTGGATGATAGGCCTGCTGTGCCATCATTTTTCCCTTCTCATGCTTTTATTAGTTTGCATACAGTCATTCACATGGACTGTGTTTCATGCATGTACATTGTGTTTTAGACAGTCTTTGACTTAGCATTGTGTTTCATTCATGTACATTTTTGCTTAGTATAATAAGTCATTTGCATCGTATTTTACATCATCAATCACTGTTGATCCATGCCTGTCCTTACCCAGTCTTTTAAAGTCCTCATTGAATCTTACCTATTCCTTCACCCCTTCATCTGCCCATTGGCCTCCTACCGACTCCCCTTTCCCTGTTTCCACCCCTTCTCCCTTTCCTCTTTCTCTTTTGAATATTTATTTACATCTCGCTCAGTTATACTTCATTTTTCCCCCCTCATAATGGTCTTGTGCAATATTTGTTCTTTTGAGACTAATTTATTTCACTCAGCAGAATGCTCTCCAGACTTTCTCATATTTTATGAAATTGTTGTTCCTTCTCGTTGTGGTATACCATTAAGTCGGAACTGACTCTGTATCTGGCTTCTCAGCAGGTTTTCAGAGGTTATTACTTACAAAGGGAGGAAATTGCCCATGCTTCTCCTGTGGAGCAGCTGGTGGATTTGAACCATGTACCTCTGGGATTGCAGCACAGTTTCTTATCACTGGACCACCCAAGCTCCCTTACAGTGTTGCGTAGTATTCCATTGTGTAAATGGACCACATTTTCTCAATTCTTTTGTTAGTTGATGGGCATGTGGGCTGTTTCCATTTTCTTGCCATTATGGCATCATTTTTGTATGAGGAATAAAAGTGATTTCTTTGGCACCTGTCAGTCAAAGGATGATCCTGTTCGTTTCTGTCAAGATGGTCTGGTTCCTGGGGCCCCAGTGTGTCCAGAGCAGAACTGCTCTGGAGGATTTCAAGGCTGTGGCTTGCTGGAAGCAGATAACCAGAACTGTCATCTGAGGTACCTCTGGGTGAGTTTGAAGGGTAAGACTGTAGATAATCACACGCTTATTTACATGTGCCCCGTGGGGCTCCCCATTGAGGGTGGACTCAGCCTGACGGTGACCCACATGTGCAAAGGAGAACTGCTTTGTAGAACTTTAAAAGGTGTGACCTTTGATAAGCACATCTCCTTATGTCAGTGGTACCTCTGGGCAGAGGCATAGGTGGGGTTTGAACTTCCAAACTTTCAGTTAATAGTCCATGCTTAACCATTTGTACCACTCAGGAAGTCCCAATAGAAGGGAATATGCCCTTTTATATATGTGCCCGTGTTTCTGTCTGTGCTGTGTACAAACACATATGTGAAGAGTTACAGCTGGTTAGATGTGAGCTTGAAACAACTTGGCCTTTGCATTTTCCAGAAAAGCTCTATATTTTATTTGGTCTTATGTTTCTTTAAGGAAATAGTAGTAAAAACCAACAGGGGTTGAGATAGTACAGTTGTGCGTGTTTAATGTTAAGAATAACAGGCGTGCACCATGGGAGGAAGGAATCTGGATTGTGGACGCATATTTAGCACAAGGCCGTCAGGAGTCGCTGTGAGGGACCTGCCTGTCACTTCTTGCTCTCAGCCACCCTGTGTCCTCCAGGATGCAGCGTGCCTGGCCCTGCCCCCTCCTCACCCTGCTCACAATGCCTGTGGCCACCGCTCTAACCTCTGTATCACTTACCTTCTTGAGCGTCTTTCTGGGTTTTTTTTTCTGACTTTCTAGCTCCCCCCCCCCCCCCCCCAGTGGTGTCCTTCTCCAGGGACTGGCCTTTGCTGGTAACACATCCGAAGCACCTGAGACGGGCATCACCATCTTTACAAGGGGATTTTGTCTGTACTTCTTTCAAAACAGAGTGTCCTTTCTTCTGGTAGTTGATGGTGTGGTGTACTCAGTATTCTTCCCCAGCGCACCCCGTCCCCCAATTCCAGGGCCTCCATTCCCCTTTTCCATTCTCATTGTTCACTGCTGCGCCTCCACAGGAATCTGAGGCGGTTGAACATACCACGGCTTGAGTCCTCCCAGCGGCATCCTTGCTTGCTGACGCTCTAAAGGAGGTATTTTGCTGCAGGTTGGCCTCGTGCGTTCCAGCACGGCTTCCAGCCAGACCTGGTGGCTACTTCCGAAAGCCCAGAAACACCTTCTGAATAGCAGCCATAAGGAGCCAAGGTTAACATGAAATAATTTGCACTGTCTGAGTATCTGTTTTCATATCTGAAGTCTCATGGGAAGGTATTTGATGCGTTTTGGAAGATAGAGATAATCCGTGTATTTCATGCCTTCGATTCCCAGAAATCTCAAGGCTGAGCTAATACTTTAGACATGGGTGCAAATGAACTGAATTTTAAGCAGGACTGTGGGGGTTTCTGGCAGAGATGAGGCAGATATTAGAAAACAGTTTTAGGCCCTGATCAGATGAATTTGCTGCACCATGATCATAGCATTAAAATAGAGACATTCTGATCATTTTCCCATTTAAAATTTCTGCCTTAATTAAGCCAGTGTGGGGAGTGCACTGTTTAAAGTGAAGCAGGCTTCTCTCTGCTCTGGGTGAACCCAGATAGTGTGTGAAGATCGGCCCCTTTGAAATCTAGGCTGTGCTCAGCCGGGCGGCCAGGTGTCCGTGGACACAGCACTTTGGGGATTCTGAAATCACTTCGCTTTTATTTCCCTGCATCCATGGGGGGTGTGTGTGTGTGTGTGTGTGTGTGTGTGTCTCTCTCTCTCTCTTATTTTTATCTTTTTTAAGAAAAGAGTGGGCAAAAATGACATTTTGCTTTTCACTATCCTAAATCCTCATTTAAATCTGTGGAGTGGATTTAAAGCTTGGGCTTTGATTTGAGGTATCTGTCCGTTGAATTGGGATGTCAGGATACGCTTCTGTCACATCAGTGATTCATTCGAACAAAACTCCGTCTCTGTCACTGTCAGTCCAGACCTTTCCTCAGGTGGTTGAAGTAATGCAGCAGTTAAAATTCCACGAGATTGTGAATTCTGAGCACAGTCCTCTCTGCTGTCTGAAAGGTTGGTGGTTCAAATCCTCCAGCTGTTCCAAGGGAGACATACAGGCAGGCTTCTCTTGGAAAAATTTACAGGTTCAGACAGCCGATGGAGGGTCACTGTTGGTCAGAGCTGACCCACACCAGTGGGCTTTGGTTTGGGTTGGCAGTGGGGCGCGGGGCCCAAGGACAAGTCCTCTTTCTCTTCTTTCATTTGAAGAGATCAGGTCCTGGCAGGTCCTGAGGGCTCTGTCCAGATGCAGTCACACCCCTCCTTTCCACGCCCTCTCAGTCCATATCTTAAAGTGACCCCTGTATCGCCTTGTAATGAGCCGTTGGTGACCAGCACAGGTAGAGCCGGGCCCAGTGTTCCTAGTTGGTGGGCAGGACATGTGGGTGAGTGGGTGAATGGGCATTAGGACCACCCTAGGGAGCAAGAGGGGAAAGAACCCAGTGCACCTTCGAGCAGGGTGATGTGGAAAGTGGACAAGCCCCCACCCCCGCTTCCTCACCTTGCCACGTGGGCTGTTGCCCTGGCCCCCTTTCCTCGCCTGCATGCCTCTGTGCCTCACCCTCGCCTCCACCCAGCATGGCCCGGCTGGTCTCCAGGGCAGCGGAACCGGTTGGCCCTGTCTGAGTTCTCTGGCCGCCATGGCAGAGATACCACATGTGGGTGGCTCTGATGTACAGAAATGTGTTCTCACACGGCTCACCAGGCTACAGGTCGGCTCTTGAGGGGCCCTTGCCCCCACTCCTGGCTCGGGGCGAAGGCCCATGCTCCTCGGTGACTGCACCCCCACCTCCCTCTTCATCGGGTCTTTTCCGATCTCACTGTCTGCTTGAAATGTGCCCTGTGCTGATGGTGCTGCTATACCCAGCACGGGCCCCTGCCACCTGGGCTTCTGGCCAGGAGTTGGTAGTTAGGACCGAGAACACACATGCTGAGGGACATAATCTAATCCCTAGCACCCCTCGCCGGGTCCCTTGGCCGTCCTTGTCTCCCAGGTCCCTGGCCCACGTGGAGGCCTCTGTTTTCCCCTGTCCCTGCCCTGGCTCTGCGGTCCTGGGCCAGCTCCCTCTGGCTCTGCCCTGGCCTTGGCCCTGAGGCGCGTGGGCTGATTCACCAAACCAAAAATAAAAGTCCACGCCCGGGGTTGGTTGTTGGTCTTCGGTCAGAAGCTGGCTCGCAGAGGGAGGAGGCCGGGAACAGCCTGGGCCCTGGTGCCCGTCCCTGGTGGGGCTGGGGAGTGTCCCCGACCCCCAGCTTCTCCAGAACCAGGCCTTTCCTTTTCCAGCCTGCTCTCTGAGCAGTTTTGGCCCTGGACTTGAAGACTCAGGTCTGGGAGAAAACAGTCGTTGTTCTGAGACTAATCACTGAGTGCTCTGCCTTGACGACTAGCAGGCAGCGAGGAGCTTACTCCACGAGAGAGTTGGAGAGGCAGATGCTTTATTCCTTTCTCTGTTTACGCCGCTCCCTCTAAGACACTCAAGCAAAACGTCTTGTATGCATCCAGGTGTCTGGCTCAGTGTCCTTCTGGGCTTTTTATTTCTCAGGTCGTTGTGTTTAAGCTTTTCAAAATTAAGGATAGCTGTGCTTTTTTTTAGTGCCCAGATTAAGGTAACCAAAATAAATGCTCGCTTTGTAAGTCGGCCGTGACGTAACGACCTGTTTCTCTCTTGGTCTCTTGCAGGGCAGCCCCATGGATCCGATGGTGATGAAGAGACCGCAGCTCTACGGCATGGGCTCGAACCCCCACTCCCAACCTCAGCAGAGCAGCCCCTACCCTGGGGGCTCCTATGGCCCCCCTGGCCCTCAGCGGTACCCCATGGGCATCCAGGGCCGCACGCCCGGGGCCATGGCGGGGATGCAGTACCCCCAGCAGCAGGTCGGTGGGAGTTTTATTTGCCTTTTGCGGTGGGAGTTGTTGTCTTTTGCTTTCTACCTGAGGTTGCTATGGAGAGAGAAGGGTGAATGTCACCAATTCTCGACTTGCCTGTCCTTTCTCTGGTTTTGTAAAATAATCCGAGTGCATCTTGGTTTTCAACTAAAGCAAGTCACTTCATAGGACAAAGATGGACAGAATGTTTGTTTGACCAGTACAACCAGCTCCTTTTTTTTTTTTTTTTCAACCAGCTCTTTTGAAGTCTGGACCCCAGGTCATAACTCTGAAGGAGTTTGCACACCTCCAAACAGTCATGTAAGCTTACGTCCTCACACTGCTGCCGTCAGAGCTTGTCTGCCCTGCGCTGTGAATACCTACTCTCAGAGTGACCATTCAAGCTGTTAGAATTATTATACTGTTGACATATTTTTGAAAACATATTTCTGTCTTTTGGAACAAAAATCTTCGTGAGTCTTGATTTTTCACTTAAACAGTCACAGCAACAAAAAGACTTCTTATGCTTTTAAAAAACAGAAAGACCCAGTAATTTCTGACTGTTTTTTCCTCAAGCACCAAACAGTTGGAGTGAGTGTAAATGACCATTTGCCTCGTGGCAGTGGTGACCTGTGGACGCCTCCATTTCTGGAGTGTGTGTCATTGTTATGTTGGCCTGAGGAGGCATGAAATTTGGAAAAGACTTAATTGGATTCAGACTTGTTAAGTTACCAGGACTAGCAGAAAGGCTTATTTATAAATGCCGCTGCTATGTCCTAAGCCCCCCGGGCTGCGGCAGGCTGGGGCTGGAGTCCATTTTACTGCCTCCCGATTAGGTTAGCCCGTAATGCCCAGAATGCACTTTCAGGGTTGACCAGAATGTCTTTTTCTCTTCAAAGTGGATGTGGAAAATGACTTCTCCTCCTTGTATATTGCACAGAGTCAGCTGTTCTCAGCTTTTTCTGTAGGCAGTGCAGCCGACTGGCTTCCCTCCTAGGCTCCTTGAACCTACTCGGTGTTTTTATTTCTTGGTGATGGGGCCAAGATTGCTCGGCCTCTGAGTGCTGACCATTGGTTCCTGCAGTAGGTCCTCGCTGATGCCCTCGCCCATCACAGATTGGCCACTTTTCAGTGACAGTCAGTTTCATAGTTGACTGTTCCAACATTGTTGTTGTTGTTGATTGCTGTCGAGTTGAGCACGACTCATAGCGACCCTATGAAAAAAAAACCTGAAGCCTTTCTATAACTATCGCCATTTCTCAGAGTTCATGAGGTTTCCAGAGGCATGTTGTTGAGGAAGTGGATCTTTTCATGACTGGCAATTAGTTGGGAATGCTAAATTATGTGGAAGGGGTGGCAGTTTATAAATAAATGAAGAGTAACGTGGTAGCTGTGACTCGTTCTTCAAATTCTTGTTCGCTCGCTTTAGTTTTAGAGCGAATTATCCTTACTTGAGTCCTGGTGGTGCAGTGCCCTGTGTGTTGGGCTTCTAACTGAAAGGTCAACAGTTTGAATCCCCTCGGTGCCCAGCAGGAGAAAGACTTTTACGGAGTCTCCTCACTGAAAGATTTACAGTCTCAGAAATGGAATGGAGAGTTGCTCTGAGTTGAAAGGCATTGACTCAAAGGCAGTGGTTTGGGATGGTTTTTGTTGTGCGGTTTTATTTTTTACAATTAAAGGGCCTCATTTTTTTAAAAAATATAAGGGCATGGAGGTCCAGCCTCCTAGGTGCCAAAGCCCTGTCTTGTGTGTAGTTGATTTCATTTGGAGATTAATAGTTTTTTGTGATTGTCCACCTCCTGGAAGAGAGCAAAAGGCAGGAAGACTTAGAGGCTGTCCTCACCTTCTGTCCGCCTCCTTCCCACCACTCTTTCATGGTGTGGAACTTGGAAATCATTTTTTAGAAGGTGCTGTTCATGCAAGGAACTGACTGCTCCTTGGATCTAGCCTATCCCTGAGAGAGCTTAGAAGCTTGAGACGTCTTAGTGGATGTCCAACAAGTCATGAGGACAAGCGAATAATTATGACATGCTTGGTTATTTTCTGCCTTAAATGTGTAAGACTGAAAAGCAGAGGGCATCCCCAGATACAGAGGGTCAGCTTAGTCATCGTGACTTTTTGGCATTATTTAACACCTGTGGCCTTTAAATGCTTTGGAACTCTACTAACTTTTGGATCACCTTGTAGGCCCAAATGGATGAAGAATGGTCATCAATGATTTCAGCAAGTTTTAATTAAGATTTCAGATGAGGTATTTTACAGCTCACCAGAGGAAACAGCCCAGTCTAATTATGCACAGATCTTCCTGATAATGGAAGGAAAATGGTTTATCAGGTCAGACACAAGCTCCCTGGCTGTAAAAATGACAAGTTTCACATCAAGTCCATCATAATCAATGACTCTAAATAACCTACATAGCTTTTTCATTTAGTTCCAATACAGCTTTGTGAATTGCAGTCTTTTGTCTTGAAATTGAAAAGGCTGAAAATGGTTGTTAGGGCAATTTTGAACATGTGTAACCTTTTCAAGGAGGTACACCGATTTTATGATACAGATTCATGGGATACCTCAAATCTAGGACATCTGATGGCGTTTTGAAATGGGCTGAAAGAAACAGTTAAGGCTTTGAGTAAGGGTTATTAGAGCACACATCCATTTGTTAGCTGTAGCCCGTGTTCTTTGCTTACAAATTTTCAGAGAGTTGCTTTGTTTGCTGAGTTTTGGTTAATTAGACATTTGGCCACCAACAAGGTTCTGGGCCAGTGATTGGCCACCGGCCCTATCCGTCTTCTCCTGACATTAATATGATTGGCTGATCTTTGTTGCAGATATGACTTCCAATGTTCTTCAGGGAAGATGTTGGACGATAATTATGACATTGGGTTTTTATTGAGTGGACATCACCACCTAGGCATGACTTTGCTTTGGACGCCCTCCAGAGCCTTCTGCTTGGTTTGCGAACCTCTAATGAGCTGAATCCAGTTCATTTCCTATTGCTCGTAGAGTTCTGCGAAGGATTAAAATGCAGGAATTCAAGTTTGTAAATTGAGTTGCCCACTTACCAGCTGAGTGGTACGTTGTCTTTGGCTCCAGGGTCACAGTTTGATTCCTGGCTGGCATTCCACTCCTGTGACATGAATTTCAAATGAGCATTGTCTGAAATGGCCACGGTAGCACGGTTACTTATTTTTAAAATGTTATTTCTTTTTCTCTCGCTGAGAGAAGGAACTAGCCACTGAGTGTTTGATTTTAGTATTAACCTGGCACTTCTTGATTTGAATGGTGATAATTTCATTTTTGAAATACACTCCCAGCCGGGTCGCTGCAGCCTCGTGTGGTAATAGTGTATCATTTCAGTTCTTTATTAACGGGAACTCCATTTGCAGCCTCTTGCTCGCTGATTGTCCCACGTCACTGGGCAGATACAGGGCTAAACAGATTGGTTTTGCACGGTGCCCTGGAAACTAGTCGGCTTGGGTTTTTTATTGAACAGAGAGGGGAAATGAATTTTCTCTGCCTCTGTGGAGAATGTGGGGCCCCAGGCTCTTGGAATTCCAACCTGGGGATGGTTAGCACAAACACTGGAGTTGATTTCATCTGGCCCAGTGCTGCGGGCAGGCAGAGCAATCTTTAAGGGCACTGGAATTTGACTCCAAGTTTTTGTCTTACTTTAAACTCCAAGGCAGCAGGGTGTCCTTTGCTGCATCAGGGCTGGTGGTGAGCAAATGTGTTGTTTCTCTTCCCCTGCCCTTGGGATCATAAATGTGCAATCAATCTGTGCCAACTTGCTTAAAACAAGGTTTTCAAATACAACAGAAAGAGCACCCGGAGAAACAGCCCAGAAGCTCCGACGTCTTTTCTTGTTACTGGGAGATGGCGGTGGTGTTGTCAGAGGTTGCATCCTGACTTCTTATTGGACTGATCTCTGATTTTTCCTTGAACACAGGTGTTAGCATAATCTCATGCCTGTCGGAATTGCAAAACCAGGGAGTGGGAGAGGAGGCACGGGAGTGATTTACAGGTTCACAGAGCTTTCACACTGACAGCGCCTTTCTCGGGTAGTGTTTTAAAACACATCTGTACTACAAATATCTTCACAGTGAGAGCACGGGATACGCTCATTGCTTTCAAAAATATCTAAAAGAATTCATCACACATACTTTGGGCTTGCTACTAGGAGAGGCTGTTCCTTGGAGAGGGACGTCACGCTTGGAAAGGGGGAGGGATGGTAAAGGAGAGGAAGACCCTTGACCAGGTGGGTTGACACAGTGACTGGAGCAATGAGCTTGAGTGTGTCGAGAGAGGTGAGAATGGCGCATAGGACCGGACTCGGAGCTATTGTTACTAAGGTCACTATGAGTCATACCCGATGTGATGGCACTCAATAATAAGATTAAAAGATACCCTGGCGAAATGGAGAAAAGTTATTTGTGTAAATGTCATCCACCTGAATTGAAATCTAAAATCGTTAAAAGCTGAGATGTGTTTGAAGAAGACTAACAATCAACACCTCCACATCCAAGGGAGAAAACCTTCAAATCTGCTGTCGTCGAGTTGAGACTTCCTGTGACCGCCTCCATTGCATCTCTCAGGCTGTAAATCTTTATGGGGGCTTCATCTTTCCCCCCTCAGAGTGACCGGTGGATTTGAACTGCTGACCTTTTCAGTTAACAGCCCGACCTGATGTACCTGATGGTACTAAGTGTACCATCAACTGTGTGCCTTTAACAATCAGTAAATAGGCTAGTTTATGTCTTTACGCTCTCCTTGACACCCTTATTGTGGCTGTGCCTTGTTCACTGTGTGCCTTTGAGTTAAAATATTTATTTCAGAGCATAAGCAATTGTATTTGGTACCATCTTAGCAGCCAAAACACTTCTTCCAATGCAAATGTTTATTTTGGCAGCAGATGTTTCTGAAAGGAGACAAACGTTACAATTGTTTGGCTAAAATAAATGTTTTCTTTGGGGTTATTAAGACACCCAGCAATTTCTAGGATTCCCACCTGT